ACTTAATTTTAAGATGAATAAATGGGACTTAATTTTAAGATGAATAATAATCTTAATTATTTTAATAACAGGAGATAGTTTTCCTCTGATTTGTTTCTATAACCTACCATCTGCTTTCCCAAGTTTTGAGACCCAAACCATTGGTTGCAGCACCCCAGGGAAAGGCAGCAGGGAAAAGCATTTTTGCTTTTACTTCCTAAGAATCCCTGAATGTTTTCCAACTCAGAACTGTAGGTGCAAGAATCCTTTTTATGAGGGTGTTGGAGTCATGCCACTGGCCAAAAGAGCTGTGAAAATTAAAATACTGGGCTGAATTCCCCAGAGCCCTCCCGACCCTCGGGACGGGTGACTCTGAGCAGTTCTGTTTGTTGTATCCCACGTGTTTTGGCGTGGGGCTGGGATCCAGAGGGGCCAGGGATCCCTCCTGACTGTGTGTCCTGCAGATGACTGTGAAGAAGACGCTGTCCAACTTCCGCAGGACCCACCACGACAACTGGCAGGAGCACAAGCAGCAGTTCACGGACGACCAGCTCCTGGTGCTCACCGACCTCCTGGTCTCGCCCTGCTATTATGCATAGGTGGGTGAGCTGATGTGTTGGGACATCAGACATGTCAGCCTGAGGAATCCTGGGCAGAGTAGGGGGAATCCCTCACCGTGGGACAGCCAAATCTGCCCTCCTTCCCCCCTCCAGTGGCCTTGGTCAAGGCCAGATTTGCCTTGATTAAATATTGCCCGTCTCTCCGTGTGTCCCTGTATTACCCCAGTGCTTTGCTAAGACGTTTACACTTGTTTTCTTGACTATTGATGTGCCTTTTCTCCGTTTTCTGCCAGTTGGCTGCCTTTTAAGTGCCTGGCAGTGCCCCCAAAGGGCAGGTACGTGCTGCTTTCTGCTCCTGGGGCCTGTGAGGACTTTAGCTGCCACCCAGCCCAGTATGTCACCTACACCTCCGATGGGGAATGGCTGCTGCCACACGGTTTCCTCTTCCACCTTGCCAGGTCTCCTCACCACAGGCACGTCCCCAAAGAGGGAATCCATTCCTGGAGTTTCTCTTTGTTGCACTACAAGACTCCCACCTCTCTTGTGTTGTGGTGCTTTGTGACAGTATTCCAAGAGAAGTTGTAACGTATATTTTCATATATATAATAGCGTGAGGTAATATATTTGTGTTTTGAATTCCTTCTCTTTCAGGTTTCTCCCGGGACAACGAGGATGTAGGAACTTGTCTGCGAAATAAAGGAGACTCAAAAGCAACTGATCATGTAGAGAACTTTGTGTTGGAAATCCCAATGCCTAATCAAACCCACTTTTAAAAATACAAACCTAAGGACCTGGTTCTATCCAAAAGGAATTTCACCTCCCCAGGGAGCAGCTGTGGGAGCCCCCACAGTCCCCCCGTGGCTGCGTTCGCGGGGCCCGATCGTGAGTTCGTGGCAAGACCCTCCTCCTGGGCCTGCACCACACATCACTCTTGTTTCTGCTTCCTTGCACACGGTGACCTCCACTGCACACTTCCCACCCTCTCTTCCTGCCCCCTGTTCCCAGCTGATTGCAGCATCACAGATATGCAGAACCGGAGAGTGCCGCCGCGCCCCGGAGCTCTCGCAGCAGAGCTCTGCACCCCTGCCCTGCTCAGCACACGATCCCGGGAGCCTGCCTTCCTCAGAGTTTATTTTTCACTCCTGGGATTTGGGTCTCATCCAGCCAGCTCAGGGCAGGATTGCCTTTTTGTACCTTCCTTGTGCAGATGTAAATAGCTGTGACCCCTGTGCGGCGCGGGTGGTGGCCGGGCAGAGCGCGGGGAGGGACGGCTCCTGCTGCCCGGCCAGGCCTTTGGAGGGAACTTGGCCACAGGTGGAATATAAATCTATGATTATCTGCGTATTTGTGAGGGGAAAAGACTGATGTCTCCATGTAATTAGAGCCCAAGATAGGAAATGATGGACTGTAAGTGGTGGTTGAACTCACGGAATGATATGTATGCACAGTGTGGAAAGGCAGTTTTTAACAGTGTATTCCCATAAAGATTGTCACTGTTTGAGCAAACATATCTCGTTTGAAGATTGTGGAAGCTCTGTGGTTTTTTTGCCTGAAGCTTTGTTCAGAGACTGGTATGAATCGGCTGTTTAATAACCTGTTTAATATGTGTTACATAGTTGTAAAAGACTGTATAAATTGTAGAGGCATTGCATTGACGAAACATTGTACAGTTTGCAACCTTTTACATAACACCATTGTGAGATTTAATTTGTAAAGATTCATACTTAGATGTTAATACAGTAGTGGTTCTGGCTTTTGTATCGAATCAAAATGCCATTCTTAGTTTTTTAAATTATTTTCTTTAACGGAATCTCTTGGCGCCCGAGAGGCAAGAGAAGGGTTTGTTTTGGTTTTCCCCGTGTCTCATTCTGGCCGTGTCTCACTCAGATCTCACTGCACCACGTGTGTGCTGACATCACATGGAACGGGTGGTACGTGGGAACAGCCCCTCAGCTGGTGTGTGTTCCCTGTTCCCTGCAGCCCCCCGGGAGCACCAAGACCTTTCTCCGAGCGTGTGAGCGATCCCAGAGTCGGGAGCTCCCGGGGCAGCGTGGGAGCGGTGTGGGCACACGGATGTACCCCTGTATAGCGTAGTGCCAAACTCTGAGCTCAACTGTGTACGTAGTGAACGACCCAATAAATGGACTGTTTGTAACAACCACACCTCCCTGTGTTTCTCAAGTGGAAATTGGTCGTTTGGAGACCTGTTGCTGTGCTTTTGAGCTTTTGGGTGAGGCCTGTGTTTGTCCTGGGATCTGGCAGTGAGTCGAGGCAATGCTAAGGGTTAATTGAAGACCTTGTTCTGATGGCTGGGAAATGAGCTGCTGCATTTATGGAAAAACACCTTGTACCAGGAAAACAGTTTCTCCAGTTCTCAGAAGTTACTAGTTTGTAGTGGAGATGGGTTTGCTGATAGAACGAGGAACTTTACAAGTGACAGGAGGCATTTGGTGCAGAGGATCATCTTTAGAGGATGTGTTGGCTGGTGAACTGTTGGAGCAGACATTGCACATTCTGTCCTGCCTACCTGGAGGGCAGGCCATGGTGGGATCCAGCTCTGCTGCTTTGTGCTGTGTTGGGAGTTTCTTTTCTTAGTCAAAGTGTAGCTGGAACTGGTTGCAAGATCCAGTAGGGAATTCTGTGGTCAGAGGTGGTGTTAATTCCCAACAGCTGGTTGTGAATCCACAGTCAATTCCTTGATCCAAACCAATCACCTGGTAGAGCACTTGTTCAAAATACACCTGTGGTAGTGTGAACAAGCCTGTCGTGACTGAGTTTTGGTGAGGGAAGGATTGTTAGTCTCCTGTTCTGGAACTGTAGGAACAGTTTTGAGATCTTCCTCAAAGATCACAACTCCATTACTGCTTTTATTCCCTGACTTTCCCCAAGCAACACACACATCCTGAATTCAGAGCTGCCATCACTTTGATGTCTTCTACTGTCTCTTCCCTAAAGCCTTTGAGATGAACCAACTGCAGGAGCTCAGTCTGGAGAGGGAGACAGCTCTAGCATGAGAAGAGAGAATTTTTCCCCTTGGAACAGGAAGGGAGATGGAAAAACACCTTGGAGATGGTCTGGTAGCCTTGATAGCCTTAGGGACCTGTCAGTCTGCACAGATAACCCGTGACCACACTGTGAAGCCAAGGAAGGGCAAAAATGTAAGGTAGAATTCATTTGTGGGAGGTTTTTGGGTGTTTTTTGTTTGCTTGGGGGGGGTGTTTGTTTGGGGGGGTTTTGTTTGCTTGGGAGGTTTTTGTTTGTTTGGGGTTTTTGTTGTTGGTTGGTTGGTTTTGTTTTGTGTTTTTTTGCTCAAGTTGCCAGTGAGCTACTGCTCAGTTATTCTTGTGCTAGGACATTAAATGGTCACATTAAGTGGTGTTATCTCCCATATTTCCATAACCAAGTATATTTGATGCTTATTTTGATAAAAATACGTGAGAAAATCATCCAGTAGGTGAATAACACTTTAAACTTGTGCTTTTGGGTGGTACCACAGGCTCACAATTGGATGTGTTACTGACAAGTTGAACTAATTTGTGTGGGGGTGGTTTGGGATTTTTAATTAGAGAGTAAAAGGGATGAAGGTCCTTATTTCTGCTGTGTCCCTTCTATGTCCCCTTTCATCCTTTGGAGCCTTTCCCAGGCTGCTGGGAGCCCTGTGCTGGGTGCACTGGCTGATGTTTCCTGGCAGGTTTTCACAGTTAGGCATCCCCAGCATCCCACACTCTCCTCAGTCTCACACTTTCCTCCACAGCTTCAGGCTCCCTGGAATCCTGCAGCAGAGCCTCCAGCTTCCCCTGTGCTGTGGAAAACACAATGATCTGGTAAGATGTTAGAGGGAAAATAAACCCACATGGCAGCTGTCCTTGGAATGTTTTAACTTTAACCCTGCTGTGAGTTACCAGCTGACCTGTTTTACATCCTCACTGGCATCCTGCAGGACCTGGAAGGCAACTTTTGGGGATTTCCCTGTCACAGGATACTCACTGTCCACAGCCACCTTGGGGCACAGGCTCTGCAGAAGAGGATTTCTAATGAAGGTGCTTCTCAGAGATGTTAAGAGAGATTTAGGAGGGAAAGTCCCTGAGGTGAGAGGGGGAAAAGGGTTAGTTTTCTCTCCCTGGCAGGAAGAGTGACTCTATGTAAAGTGGTCTTGCATGAAGAGTGTTCTCAGCACTGATAATTCTGCTGATAATAGTTGTAAGCTTCTACCTTTGATTTCTGATGGATTAAAGGTGAGTTGTTGCTCCTGTGATTCCTGCCTTGCAAAACAGACTTTGTTCCCATGCTTTTCTCCTCCACCCCAAACTTTGGCAGTTCTTTTAAGAAGTTAAAAAGCTCTTTTAAAAAGGGACAGTCCAGTGAGACACTTTGCTGTGCCAAAGGGGCTGGGCAGGGGTTTGTGCTCCCATAGAGGTCCTTTTTGCCTCAGCTCATTCCCTTGCTCCCCGAGTGCAAACCCTTCTCCCTCTTTCCTGCTGGAATGTTTGAGGCTCTCAGACTTTAACCAGCAACACTTTTCCTTCATTTCAAACTAGAGTTAATAACTATAGAGGGGTAAAACATCCTAACTAAACCCACCTTTGCTCCTCCCAGACCCGTTAAACACTGTGTTAATGAAATGAGTGACAATCTAAACCTGTTACCAAGAGAAAAAATCAGACTTTTCTTTGGCTCTTTTCCAGGTAACTAGTTCTAAAGTAGCCAACTTGCTGTACAGCCCAAGGATTACAGTTTTGACTCCTAAATCCATTTTCAGGGGTTTCAAAAGCATGCAAGAGTTCAGAGACTCAGCCTTGCTCACTCCTTTTGCTGAAAACAATCCCACGAGGCAGGTGCAGCTTTACTTCTGTGAGTGTGTTTCTACCTGCTCTTTTGGGGACTGAAATCTGAACTGTGGTCACCCAGGGCTGAGCATTTGGCCAGAGGACACCTGGGGTTACACGGACCTTCCCAACCTTTTAGAGGACTCTTGTTATGCAAAATGTGTTGTAACTCCTGTGGCTTTGGCCTCGGGGGTTAGGCACAGTGTGAAGCTGAGGTCAGTTTTTATGCAGGCTCTTGTTTCCAGCTGAAGTGAGGTGTGTTGCCTGCTCAGAAAGCAGGTGAGGATCTTGTGGTCCCTGGTTTCATGGGAAGGGAACAATCCTCACTATTTCCTCAGCGTTAACCACTTTGAAGTAATTTGCTCCTGCATTAGGCTGACATTTTGTCAGTCTTGTGTAATCACGTAATGCAGTGTCCTCTGATATTTATAAATAATAAAATCCAAGGAGGGAGAGCCTGGCTTGCCCCTGAAAAAACAACTCGTAGTCAGTAGGGCTCAGTAGGATTCACCCACAGAATTCAAATTAACCAAGGCTGGAGAACAAAAATACAAGTAAGAGGGAAAATAAGTGACAGCCAAGCTGAGAGGGAACATACCTTGAAGCCACATGAAACCATGTTTTGGGTCTTGGACCTTCCCCCTCCTGTACACAACTAGGTTAAGAACAACCCTGTATGATTGCTGGGGTAGGGGATGGTTATTAAGACAAGTTTAATGTTGATGTATATGTGAGACAAGTACCATGCACAAGTCAGAAACTGGATCTACTGTATTTCCATAGTGGTTTTGTGCCTTGCCTGGCTGGATTTTGGTCTCCTCCACCTGCATTTCCAGTGACACGGAGGCCCCTGGGTTGTGTGTGCTTGGGACAGCTGGGAGAACGTGCAAGGAGAGTTTTCTGGACTTCACCTCCCTGTGAGTATTTCAGAATGATCCCTTGAAGTGCCTGGGGAGAACTTACAGGAAAGGAAGGGCAAGGGTGTTTGCAAGTACTGGCAGGACAAGGGGGAATGGGTTCAAATTGAAAGAGGGTAGATTGAGATTGGATTTTAGGAAGGAATTCCTCCCTGTGAGGGTGGGGAGGCCCTGGCACAGGTTGCCCAGAGAAGCTGCGGCTGCCCCTGGATCCCTGGAAGTGTCCAAGGCCAGCTTGGAGCAACCTGGGCTATTGGAAGGTGTCCCTCCCCGTGGCAGGGGGTGGAACCGGATCATCTTTAAGGTCCTTTCCCACCCAAACCGTTCTGCGCCGGCACAGCCCGCTGCATCAGAGCCGCTCCGCGGGCTGAGAACGGGGCGGTGCAGCAGCGCCGGGGGGGCTCCAGGGAGCTCCGGGGAGGCCGGTGCCGCATCCCCCGCCCCGCGCCGGGGCAGCCCCGGGCCCGCCTTCGCCGGGAGCGCGGGGGGGCTGCGGGTCCGGCCCCGCCGCGGAGCGAGCGGAGCGGGGCGGGCGGGGAAGGGGCCGGGCCCGGGCGCCATGGCGGCGGAGAGCCGGCGGTGAGCGGCGGGGGCCGGGCCGGGGATGAGCCCCCCGAGGCGGCGATGAACCGGCCGGGGATGAGCCCCCCGAGGCGGCGGTGAGCGGGCGATGAACGGGTCGGGGCGGCTGCCGGCGGGGCCCGGGGAGCAGCTGGGCGCGAACGGCAGCGGCCCCGCGGAGCTGCGGGAGGGCACCCACGCCGCCACCTTGGCCGCCTGCGCCTCCCTGCTGGCCCTCGTCTTCTGCCTGGGCTCCTACGGCAACCTCATCGTGCTGCTCTCCTTCTTCGACCCGGCCCTCCGCAAATTCCGCACCGACTTCGACTTCATGATCCTCAACCTGTCCTTCTGCGACCTGTTCCTCTGCGGCGTGGCCGCCCCCATGTTCGCCTTCGTGCTGTTCTTCGGGCCGGCGCGCGGCGTGCCGGGCGCCTTCTGCTTCGCCTTCCACCTCACCGGCTCCGGCTTCATCATCATGTCCCTCAAGACGGTGGCGGCCATCGCGCTGCACCGGCTGCGCGTGGTGCTGGGCCGGCAGCCGCCCCGCGCCGCCTCGGCGCCCCGCACGCTGCTGCTCACGCTGGGCCTCTGGGCTGCCAGCTTCACCCTGGCCACGCTGGCCACGCTGCGCGCCCGCGGCTCCCGACGCTGCCTGCCCGTGGCCAGCCTGGCCGGCGGCCGGGGCAGGCTCGTCCTCTACCTCTACGTCGCCGACTTCATCTGCTGCGTGGCCGTGGTGGCCGTGGCCTACGTGATGATCGCCCGGGCCCTGCGCAGGAATGCCCGCGCCAGGCAGGGCCCGCCCGTGCTGGCCGTGGGCACCCCTCGGCCGCAGCCGGCCCTGTACCGGACCC